ATATTTTTGATTTTTCTGAAACTCTTTTAAAAAGTTATCAGTTGTTTCTTCAACAAATTTCGGTTCCAGGTACTCAAAAGGTCCGTACATCCAGACATTCAAGTAACGCATCCATTCAATGCAAGATCTTAAATACAACATGAGAACATAAAATAGGTACAATAAATTTAATGATACGTTAATTGGCTTAGAGACAAACCTACATCATACCGGGGCTAAGCAAAGGTATTTTTTCCATTTTTAATATCATAATGACATATATTATTTAAGAAATTTAATACTGATCGACATACACAGAAAATAGAATAACATTTTTGGGTGCTAGAGGAAATTCTGAACCAATTACATTATGAAACAACACTAAACGAAGATCGTTAATACTGTATACGGATCTTAGGCAAATTATAGCAAACTACTAATTACTTTTCCCACGTACAGTGGATGTGGTGGCTGCCGGAAACCGTCTGCATATATACTGGGTTTCGGGTCACAAGGGCATTCCGGGAAAGGAAATAGCGGATGAGATGGCCAAAAGCCTCATTCGCCTGACTACGGAGCCTGTACCGGAAACACAGGCCACAACTTACTGGCAACAGATCTGAGCCGTATGGACATTATTTACGATGATACTTGTAGAAAGTGAAAGAAAGTGAAAGTATACTTAAGAGACGGCTTAGATATCTAGAAGCTTCGCAGTTCAAAGGACTAGATGAAGTATCAGATATAGATATCAAGTCTCTATTAAACTACGCAAAACACGTTGACGTTCTGTATGACGTAAACTTCAGCTCGTATTAAACTGAACTTCCATCTGTCATTACAAAGGATCCTTAGGTATATGTATGCGTTATGGACAATGTACGAGTATTTGTATAGTTGAGTTACATGGTGAGACTCAAAATGGCATAATCTGAATAACAGTCGTGTTGAGAGTGAGTGAGCGTACATCGCACTTGTTTCGGTGTTTACAATCCACCTTCAATGTGGGTTTTTTTATGAAAATATTTTAAGATCCCTCAACTTTTACTTTAATTTTTTAGCTACACTGTCGGACGGACAGACTGATGATATGATGCATTTAAAATTAATTTGATTACTTTCATGTGTTCAAAAGAACCGTTAGATGAACAAACTTAGTGTTTATACATACTTCATTAGTTCTGCAAATGGAATAATGAAACCCTTCATAACTTCCAATTTGGGATATGATGTTTGCGCCATCTTAAAGAGTTTCTCTTCCTTATTAATCCATGCAACATAGTCATCGAATGTCTTCAGTTGACCCATGAAATTTCTTAATAGTATATAGTTATGCCGAAACTGTTCTGGTTCACTCATGTCGTCAATAATGGCCAAATTTGGTAACATAGCATCAATATCCTCATTAAGTTTCCTAATGACATCCTGCAGATGCTCCTCAAAAAGAAATTTGTAATGCTCTTGCTGTGAAGCATTGTAATCACAAATTTCATTGATGTCTTGTAGCCAATTAATGGTGCGTATGGTAAGATCGAAATGGTATGGTGACATTTCGGTCAATTCAACGAGATTCGTGCCAACTTGAAGACAATATTGTATACGATCTCTTAATGCGAATATCAGTTCCTTTTTCACACTTATCATGTACTCAGCGCTCGCGAGTAATTCTTCAGTTGATCTTGGTATCGTTAATGCTTTCGTTTTAATATCTTCGAATGCAGCACAGATTTCCTCTTCTGCTTTTATATGCTCCTTAACCATTTGTTCAGTTATGCGGGCAATCAAATCGTCAGCAATTCGTCTTAGTGCCACAAATGCGGCTTTATTGCAGACTACGCACATTTCGAAATAATCGTTTTCCGGTTCCCCTTGTAACATTCGTATAAACTCGAAGTAGGTCTCAATACGCTTGAAGTACTCATCAAACTCACGGGACTCCCTCAAGAACTCGTCAAGATCACGCCGCACATCTTCCGCATAAAGATTGTAATATTTCTTTTTATAGCCAATAATATAGTCCTTTATAGGCGCATATGTACGTCTCAATACATTTCTCAATTTAGCTTTATATTCATTAAGCCAATAATCGTTCATGGATATACGCAAATAATCGGCCGCGTTATTAACCAGTGTTGAATCGATTTGTGGCTCTAAGGGCTCTATACCAGTTGCCACCTGTGCTGTCGCGTCGACGAGGTGCACATACATCTCGTAAATTGTTTCCAAACTGGGATCTAGTTCTATAGTGTTCTCATCTTCCTGATAAATCATATTAATTTTAAGCGTAGGAATTTTGCGCTCCAAGCCGCCAACACGCAAGAACTCATCCAGTGTATTTATTTTTAGCATATTTATTTGTCTATTCATAAGCGCCTCCAAGCATTTAAACATATGCGCCTTGAGCCAAGTAGGCATTATGCGTCGGCGGAATTGACGACGTATAAGTGAGACCATTTTCGGGTACCATGACCAGCGTAAAAAGTTACTTACATCTCCTAAATGGTTTTCCACATATTTTACAAAGGTCTTGTAAAATAACGCTTCGCGACCGCCAAGTCCCATTGTCGCTTGTACATGACTCGAACCGAGAGTTATTGGATCCAAAACCACCATTGTTTTTGGAAACTCCAATTCGGAGGTATTTAAAATCATACGCACCTGTGGGTACACAATAAGTAACTTTTTGCTGATCTTACGTTTATTTTCAAGAAATTTCGGATAATTCGCTGTGCGTCCAGGTAACTTGAAGTGAAAATCTTTGATTGGCAGTACAAATTGTGCCGGATCCTCATCGGCAAACTCCGGATGAACCAGTATGCAATTCATGCTGTAAATCTTCATTAGACGATCAAATTCCTCGTGTACATCTTTCATATAGTTGTCGACCAACTCGGGATATTTCGATTTTAAACGGGTTGGTGCGTAACTGAGAATTTTCTTTTCTGTTTTTCGTAACATTTTTGGCACTTCTATTTTACGTACTTCCCGACGCAAATTATCAATGTAATCGTTTTCAGGTAGTAGACGCATATCCGGTTCAGGTGGCAACGGTTTACGGCATAAATTGACTTTCTCGAGGGCGGCGCGGTATTTGAGAAAACGTGAATGTCGCTGGCGCTGGACATCAGCAAGTCGGAATTTAAGTAATGGATTTTGCATGTATCCTTCATTGTCATATCTCTTAAGGTCCGAGGGTGGTTGATACATCCGCTCCAGTTTTTTCGTAAACATCTTGTTTAAAGCTCTGAATTCGATGTTAATGTGTTGAAATCAAGTGAAAAAATGAAAAAATTCTTGAAGCAAACGATCCAGTATTTTCATATTGATAGACGTTGTTGGGTTCGAAAGTTTGCTTAGAAACGATAAACGAACGCATGCCAGTATATGTACATCGATTTTGTTGCCAGGAAAGCTACAGAGTGGCCGCAAAGAAATATTAACTTTTCATTAAATGTTTATAAACATTTTGTTAGCTTTTAATACAAACAGATCTCCGTCACGTTTCTTAACGATTTATGTGGTTGTTGCTTTAGCGGTGATTTAAAATCGATTCGAAAAGTTAAATTAGTTATCAAGGTCATTTGACGATACTTTCCGTTAAATGTAACGCTTTGTTTCGACGATATGGAACCATAAAGATATACATATACGGGGTAGTTTGTGTCACGCGGCGTCTTTTGCATGATGAACATAAAGGGTGAATGGATCAATCAAATTTGGAACCATAATAACTTATTTTAAAGATCATAGACTTACTTAGTTTTATTACTGTTTTTTACTTCCCGTCAGCGAAAATTATACTTAAATCATCCTCAAATGATACTTGTATATACCATAAACTCAACCGAAGAGGTTAAATTAAATATGTAAGTATGTATATTGAGTTGCTGTGAAAAACGTCAACCAAAGGATCGCAATTCATTATATTCGGGATATGAGGTTTAGACCATGAGGTTTTTCATGTATACTTGAGAACCTATATTCAAGCAATTTTATAAATATGAACATATATATACACTAGGTGCCCTCCGCTGCGCTCCGGGACGCTCGCTTCGCTCGCTCGCCTACGTCTGCCCCCCGCCGAGCGCGAGCTAGCTCGCTCTTATGTTAGTTGATTCTCGACAGCAGCAGAAAACTTGTATATATAATATAGAGATATATGGAGTAAAATCAGCCGGACGTTTCAAAATCCTGAACATCATTTATATGGGGCTGAGGCAAGTTTTTGCCCGATTTTATCCATTTTAGGCACAAAGACACACTTTTATTAGAAAAACATGGTCACTCAAATTAATAAAAACAACTTCCATATTGGCCGTTATATGGTATGAAGGGACTTGAACAGTAATGGTCCAATCTTGCAAATTTAAGACTCGAGATGGCATACTTCAAAGTCACTATTTGTGCAAAGTTTTACCCGAATAATATATATATAACCCTAAATACTCTCTAGCATGTTGCAAGAGTATGGGGCCGTCCATAAATTACGTCATCGATTTTTTCAGATTTTATATAATCATCCTATCGTCATTTCTTAAAGACACCGTCTTTACCGACTTTGACTTTACCGTCATCCGCAGACCAACCCCTCCCTAATTCAGAATGACGTAATATATGGACGGCCCCTATACAAATGTTTGCCCTAAAATAATTAAATTTCAATTAATAAAGCAAATATTTAGCTTCAAGAAAGTGACTTACATATATGATGAGATTGGACGTTCCTTATACTTGGAATGTTAATACTATTATGTGCGTTCCTTAGTTATTATTAATATATAAATATTTTTAACCTCGTTTAGTTAACTGCAATTCTATAACCTTAAGTTCTGAGCCATTGACCACCACCAATTAACCAGTTAAAATTCGTTATAATTATAAATATTTAGAGTTATGATGTGATGATTCCAAATAAATGGACATGTGGCCTTCAACAACTTCCGAAAAATAATGATATCTCAGAAATTTCTTCTCATAAGTAGAGTCAGAGAAAAGAGTTACTTTGCAATTCTTCAACTAAATTTAATGTTTAATAGAATTGGCAGCTTTATTTAACGGTGCTAATATTTATTAAATAAATTTTATATAATTTCATATATGTATGTATGAACAATACTTTTATTAAATTGAATTTATTCGATACCTCCAAAAACATAAGCATATGTACATAATGTTTATATATTTGCTAATATACGCGCACATATGCATTATGAAATAATAATAAAACTTATCACAACTTTTTAGAACAGGTTCGACATCTCAACTTATTTGTATATATGTATGTATATATATTTTTGAACATTTGCTGATTATTCTCTTTACATAACCCTCGAAAAAATCTACATTTCACGCTCACATTAACTTTTAGGTACATTAAGCCTTAAATTATTATTTTGTTTTCTTTAACAACTAATATTTAGTCAATTGATTTGTGTAGATCGTTGCTGGATTAAATGATTGTTTTTGTAATGAAAATGGGACTAAGGGTATAAAGTGGGAATTGGGAAGTTGTATCGACTACTAATGCATTTCTGAACCACTCCATGGCGAACTGCACTTGTTATCTCTCGAATTGCAACACGTATTCTTTAAGTGGAACTGGTAAATTAAGGCGATTGACATTCTGAGCAAGTTTGCGATTAACCGCCTCATAGATGGCAATGCGAGCCATTTGCTTCAGACTACGCGGTTTACGATACAACGAAGTGATCAGAGATATCAATTGTTCGGTCTTTTTATTTGGCACCTGCGCCACGTAGAAATTGTGCAACGATTTAAGGCAATTATATAATGGTCCATGTTGCATTGTTAAGAAAAACAAGTGTATGATTCGCGTAAATGTCAGTGCTGGGTCGTTCAGTATGAATTCCTTTTTGGTTATCAAAATTATATAATAGAAAAGCAGGTAACGGGAGTGTGTACGAAACGAGTTGCGAAATGTGCCTTCCCCACCATTGTTTGAGCCGGCGCCATTGCTACTGCCACCACTGCAGAGCGCTTCACCAAAGCTGGCAATTTCGTTGGAAAATATAGCGCTGCCTGTTGTCGCCTGACTACTCAGCACGATGTTGGGATCAGCGCCATACTGGATCAGTGTAAGTGTTAATTCGTAGATACATTGCATGTCTGAGCAGTTGCGCACATTTTGTACCATATCGCATACGGCTTGCAGTATATGCGGATATGTTTGATTGCAATCAAGTCCATGTTGCAATAATAATAATAGTATGTTCTTAATAAAATCGAAGTTTGTTCGTTTTTGTGCATCACAATTAAGCGTAAAGTTTTCACTAACAGTAAATACCAATACATGAAGTGGTGTCAAATTTGAGCGATATGAGCAATTTGGATTGGCGCCATATTGCAGTAAAATACGTATGCAGTTCAAATAGCAAACCTAAATATAACGATATTCAATAAATTGCTTCTTTCTTTACTTCTTTTAATATATCCATACCTTCATAGAGTGGGTAAAATGATGCAACTGATCCTTATTTATCAACGGAACCAGCAATACCATTATTGGTACTGAACCATCACGTCCCACAATATTCGGGTCACCGTCTTCTTTGATTAGCATGTTAAGCAATTCAAAGCATACTTCCCAATCACGCACATGTCGGAATACACATGCCAATGCACTATTGCCGGTTTGGTTAATTGAACTCTTAGCACCGCTTTGTAATAGAAAACGGACAAGATGTAGCACATCCCATTTGCTCCACTTGTCGTAGCCATATCTTCATCAAAAATAAACAAAAATAAACAAAATTTAACAATATATATAAATATATTCATGCGCTTATAAACAAATAATAGTTACCGCGCTTCCTCTAAAGCATAACGTACGATAAGCGCATGAAGTGGCGTGTTGCCTAGAGAGTCCGGTTCATTGATAAGTTCTTTGCATCCACGCTCTAATAAAATTCTTAAGGTACTTAGGGTATCTTCAGCAGATTTGCGCGCCGCAAAAATAACTATATAGAAGAAATAACTAACACTTTTCAGAAACTATATAATATGTTTATTCGTATAAGAAGCAGACACCTTTGCCGTTGCGAATGCATTAAGCCATCTTTCAAAAAACCTACTTACCAACGTGCAGGAGTGTCATTTGTTGGGTACACGTGCGTACTGTTGTCACGGCACCGTGTTGTATCAGAAGCTCCAAAAAACGTCCTTCATGCAACACAGCCTGATGAATGGGATAATATTCATCTTTAATTAAATTAATCTCTTCTGAACGTGTAATAACCAATTGTTGCACACAATTCCAAGCACCACGCTCACAAGCCAAATGTAGTAGTGGCTTTTTAACCCGAAAGGGTACCTGCAACGAAATAAATCAGGCTTGTTTTGATATTCAAAAAGTAAGAAAAATTACCCAAGGGTCTTCCATTTTTTGTGCTAATATATTTAGTACGCTTATTTGATCACCATCAATAGCATAACAAACGGCGTTCTGTAACTTTGTATTTGCTCGTTCGCATACGTTTGGCGCAGTACCAACATCATCATAATTTCCATGGTACTTGCCGCTTTCTTCACAGTTGTGTGAGTGTACACCTGGAAAGCACATCCGTGAATCTGTGTCGATTCGAGCACCATGCTTTAAGAGCAATTCGACACACTCTTCATACCCTTTTAAACAGGCTATATGCAATGGCAGTGAACAAGGACTACGATTAACGTCTGGCCTGTGTCGGTGTAGCAACCACTTGGTGAGGTCGATGTGATTAAGGCCCACACTACGCTGAAGTATATTATAACCGCAATCATCGTGTATTATAAGAATATTTTCATTCTAAATAGTATAATCCAAAATATGCATATTATTAAATATTATTATAACTTAAGCAGAATATCAATGATTTCACACCTTCGGAATTTGCAACAGAAGACTTTCCAATGTCTGGATAGACACCTTTGGATTGGCCCGTAAAATTTCAAAGAGCGTTTGAATACGTGCCTCTGTGGCCTTGGATACTTTATGGCCGTCACGATGTGAAAGCAATGCTGACCCTGATCGAAACACCTGACCCATCTTTTTTCAATGCAAACCAAGCAAGTACACAAATAAATAGTAAGGCCAGCTTATAAGTATGTTATATGCGACGAAAAAGGCAAAGTGAGAGCACGTTTGAGGATGATGGGATGAAATTAAGCTTAAGTATTCACTATATCATTTTTACCAACATTAACATTAAACAATTCGAGAAAATCAGCTGAATCCTGCAAATATATTGAACGAAATTGTATTTATTGTGAGTCGTTACGCCTTTGTTATTAGGAATCGATGTAAGGAAATAGGATTTCGGAAATTTCTGTATAGTTGTCTTATAAAGACCTTACACTTGTCTGTTTACTTTCGTTTGACTGGCTTTTAAAGAATTTTATCAAAAAACGCTATATTTCATGATGTTATTTAATATTTTTATTAGAATCCAAACATTTTGCACCAAAGCAAACACTTTTTCACGCAATACACACTTTTGACGCAAATAAATTCAGTGCTGCCAAACTTCATATATAGAAAGCTAGAGGAAAACAGACTATAAAATGCGAAATTACAAAAAGCAACATAAATATATAAAAAGTAAAAGCAATATAAAAACATAAACATTAAGGTATAGTACAAAGGGATTGAATCAAAATATATCTATCTGTATAAACAAATAATGAAATTTAATTTATTTAATACATTTTATATATTTTTTAATATTCCTTATAAATCATTATTTTATTTTTTCTAGTATGGATCGGTCACATTACAAACAAAAAAAATTATATAGTACATTCATAATAATATCCCTTACAAATTTTGCAACTTATTGATTTATTATTGTCATCAATTGGATTCAAGGAATAAAAGTATTTCTCAAGTTCGGTTAGAATTTCAATTTGCTTATTTTCGAGGAAGTCGTATGTAAGATTGGAATATTTTGTGACGCACATCATAAACATTTCATATAGCACCTTCTCAGTAGGTATAAAAGTGCGTAGAACATCATTAATGGGATCACCGAATTCGTCCATAAATGTTCTTGCTAAATTCATCAACAGGTAAAAGCTTTTCTCGCACATAAAATTTGCCATCGTGTCTAGTAGATCGATGAAACTATTTGAATCTAATATGTTGTGAACAAATTTGAAGCCGGCCGCTGCGAGGAGTTGTATGGGATTTAATTCACCTTCCAACGTATAGTTAAATAACAGTGGTAGTTCACTAATCGTGTTACCTACCACTGTACCAGCAGTAGCTTGTGCTAATAACGTTCCAATTTGTTGTATAAACGCCTCTTTGGATGGTATATTATTTACAACCCGAATAAGATCGGTCTTAGTAAACTTTTTACCGATTCTCATACATTCACTCGAAATTTTATCATATGAATTTCTAAAAATAGAAATATAATTAATAAATTATCAACTACCACAGCATACTCGCTCACCTGGTCTTCTTTTGAATGGCACTCCGAAGCGATCCACTACCTCCTCGAGTTGGAATTTTAGTAACCAGTGCCAAATTATTAATTGAATGTGTAAAAACCAACAACGACGATGTGAGCTGTAAAATATCTAAACTGCTTGGCCCCTCGTCATAGCTCTGTTACGAATAATTTAAATTATGCTATTAAAAAATTAATATTATGTAATAAAAATCCATACCAAATACAAATCGTAAACAGTATTTACTATGTCAGAGCCAGAGAGTACAAGCGATGTTACATTTGCACCACCAACCGCTACCTTTGCCATCTTAAATAAATATAATTTTTATACATTCATATATTTTAATACATATACATATACATATTTACATACCAATGGTACACCTTTGCCAGCCGAGTTGGCATAAGCTAGCGCATTCATAGCACCAGACGCTCCTAAACCAGCGACGCCGCCAGCTACACCTAACCACTTGCTTCTAGCTTCCCGATCGGCAAGGGATGTGGACTGTCCATGCTTATAGCGATCTTTTAAAAACGTTGCCGACCGCACGGCTGAATAAGCACTCGTTGCTAATGATACTACTGTTGCAGTTACCATGACAGGTGCCGCTATCGGCATGACCATTGAGAGCGCAAGTGGTGCCGTTCCCGAGATTATTCCACCAACACCTATTGCTGTCTCAAGCTTCCTCATAGAATTCGAATTAGGTGTTGTGCATATTTCTAAGTTGACCTATTGTTTAAAAGAATCCTTTAATAGGCATGTGCTGTTTTCATCAATAAATATTTCATTTCCGATATAAGTGTCGTAATAAGTATTTAATTACCTCATCATTTCTATTTAAAGTATAAACTCCATTTGATGGAGCTATCATGGTTCCACTAGGGAGTATATTGTTTTTTAAGTACTGTTGCCAATTCTGATAGATTCGAGAGTGTTCATCAATAAATATCATACAGCAGCCAGAACTGTTATTTAAAGCTAAAACAAAACCATCCAGGGAGTTATATTATTTTTAAACACATGTTACCACTTACCTAAGCATTTGCGAGTACGTATGACGGGATGAAAGGAAAAGTTGGTTGAGTGTTTAGCAACTTCATAATCCCTCTCTTCAGTAACCATTACATAAATAATAGATGAGAGCAGGACACGATTAGTATGCTTACCTAAAAATAACAAACGAATAAATTATACTTTATCAAAAAATCAAAACGTTCATACTGCAAGAAAATTATAATTACGCTGTGCCCAAACATTTTGGAAAAGATTATTGCGCGCTTTTTCGATTTCATTTTGACGTTGATCATCAGGTAAAATATTTTTAATCTTCTCCTTCAAAATTTCTGATTGTTCACCAGATAGGCTACAAAAATGAATTTTTGAAAATGAATTACGTCAATATGTTTAAAACATGTAGTACTTACGAGTCCCAAACAATTTCCATACCATGACCACTGCTTCGTGCTAAGTCATTTTGTACCTCAACTATTGTGCGATGCATCATTTTTATAAAAGTATGTATTTTATATTTATAAATAATTATATTTAATTAACACAAAACATATGCCTAAAAACAGTACAAAAAAAAATCACAAATCATTAAATAAGCAACGCTCGATCTCTATAGCAACCATGCAGTTGTTTGTTACAACGACCGTTATATAATATAATCATCCAAATTTCCACATAAATCTTTAATAAATTAATCTGTACAATCCGTTAATCACGAATATAATCAAAATCCTCAAATTGTGAACATTCAAAGAAAGATATTTGTATTTCCCCTTCAAATAGAGATTATGATCAAACTAATTAGGGTTGCATTCAAAAAGATCGCAAATTGGATAGTGCTATCGATATAATTTATTTTTCGATTACAAGTACACGTTCATTATTTCTTCATTGGTCCTCTATACCAAACTAACAAAACTCTTGTTTAAGTGTTCATCCCTTTCTTACAAATAGGTGTTAATTTCCACATCCAAAAAGTCAGACAATATTAAAAATATTAGAACATATTTGGAAATAAGACAAATAATATTTATTAAATCCGACAATGTCTTCTATACAAGAATCGTTCTTTGTCGCGATGTTACTACCATTAAGAAAAAAGTCTAAACACGAGAAATCGGTTATCGCGTACTAGATATGGCTTGCTTTTTTAAAAGATTTGAAGACGACTTGTTATTCATAGTTTATTTACTCTTAAGTATATTTAATTAACTTCAAATAATTTTTTAATATGTGTATATATTTTAATGCTTAATGGAGTTTATTTAGAAAAATTTGCATGAACTTATTGAATATGTGTAAAAGCTGTTGACAGATTAAACTGTGTTCACACACGTAGACACTCTCTCAGTTTGTTGGTGAGGGAAGACGAAGGGCACCAAAATGAGTTAATGTATAGTTTAGATCCCCTAACGCAGGAGGCCTCAAAAATTATTATTATTTTGAATTCGTCTTATTTTGACGCGAAGATTACAAATGCGTGATCGGAAACACACTTTGCACATATTTTTCAAGTGACTTAGTTGTGGTTGCAGCAGCAGAATTCTGTAGAAATCCGATCACTTAAAAAAAAGTTGAAGAAATGTAATAGTCACAATTTCTTTTACGCAGCTATCAATGGAATGGACGGCCTTCGGCTGCGCTTCAAAAAATTGTATTGAATTCCTTTCAGCACGCAAAAGAACTATGGACACCCCGGTGTTGGACCGACCAAGGTTATTTATTTTAAGGAGTTACCACGCTAAAGAACATGTGCAAAGTGTGTTAATTTTTGGCTTCTTTTGTTAAAATTGTTATTGAGAAAATCGACTTTCCGCTCACGGTAATCTTCGTGTCAAAATAAGACGTTTAAAAAAAAATTATAATTATGGCAGCATCCTTCATTGAGGGACCTTAACTATACATTTACCCCGAATTGTACGCAGGAAACAAGTTTTGTGTTCTTGACTGAAAAGGTCGTTACTACGCAATTCGGCAAACCTATAAATTTTGAATTTCATTGCATGGTTGTATGAAATTAATGCAATGGTCAACACCAAATCAGAATTTCACGATAATGAGCAACAAAAGTTTCCATGTGTAAGTATAGTCTTATAACCGTAATTCTGAGTTATCAGCTCTATCAGCTGTCTCTTGATCGGCCTTTTATTCCACTTAAACATTGCCAAAGAAATGCTACTTCAAAGGTGTTTTATAAGAAAATGGGCTATAAAAGCTCCAATCAAAGGTATTCTTGAAAGGGTCCAATTACGCCTTATAAGTCAAAATGCCGAGGATAAGAATTCCGATACAATTCAGCAAACATCAGCAAAGGATTCATCAACATCTAATTTACAAAAGCGCTCACAAATGCATTTGGTAAATGCTTTGGAAAAAGATGTAAACGAACGGCGTACTATCGACCCAAAAGAAACTTCTATTATATTGTTTCCTGGGCAAGGATCACAGTATGTTGGTATGGCAGCGCAACTAATGCGATTTCCCTCAGCGCGATCTATATTTGAATTAGCAAATGAAGTGTTGGGTTATGATTTACTCAAAGTGTGCCTTGAAGGTCCACGTGAAAAACTTAATCGTACTGAACATGCTCAATTAGCTGTAATGGTTTCCTCATTGGCCTCTTTGGAACAATTGCGAGAAGAAAGACCGCGTGCTATTGAGAATTGTGTAGCAACAGCTGGGTTTAGTTTAGGGGAGATTACTGCATTAGTGTTTGCCGGTGCATTACCATTCGACAAAGCGTTACGATTAGTACAGGTACGCGCTAACGCAATGCAAGCGGCGTGTGATGCTGTGCCCAGTGGAATGGCGCTTATATTATATGGACCTGATACACAGGTTGGAACTATTTGCGCACAGGCTCAACAATGGTGCTTGGAACGTGGTGTAGAAGCTCCGTATTGCGGCATAGCAAATTACATGTACCCACATTGCAAAGTACTAGCCGGACATCTGGATGCATTGCAATACATTGAAGTAAATGCGATGGCTCTAAAAATTAGACGAATGAAACGCCTACAAGTGAACGGTGCTTTCCATACGCCTATTATGCAATCTGCCGTTGAACCTTTTCAAAAGGCACTAAAAAATATTCTTATAAAGGAGCCGCTCATCCGAGTGTTTTCAAATGTGGACGGCAAGCCCTATCGAAATGCTACGCATATATTACGTCAATTACCAAATCAAGTAAGTAGCGATAAACGCAAAGCACAATTTCTGAATATTAATAAACTTTGTCCTTGTAGATTGTAAAACCAGTAAAATGGGAACAAACGTTGCATTTAATCTATGAGCGTCGGCAAGGAGTTGATTTTCCACGAACATTTGAGTGCGGACCTGGCAAAGGATTAAAACAAATACTTGACAAAGTTAATGCTAAGGCTGCGAATACGGCTTTCAATGTTGAAGCGTAGTAGCTAAAAAAATTTTTAAATATGAGTGAAACTTTATTTTTAGGCGGTTGTTTCTAATAAAACGTTAAGGTTATTTTTAAGTAAAATAATCTATTTCCTTTTCTTATCCTAAACTGTATAAACAGAACCTTACTTATTATAAAGTAAATCATAACAAAAAAAAAAATTATATATATAGGTATAATACCCTTAATGAGTAAACAAGTTATCATACAGGAACTTGATTCTGTTCGCTCAGTTTTTATGGCAGATATATGCTAGTGTCCGATCCGAAATTATTTTAAAATTTTTCCGTTTACTAGGACAATAAGCTATACGAAATTTCATGAATACATCTTGTCAAATAAAAGTTCTAACCTTAGAACATAATCCAGTCCGATATAGGCGGTTCCGACAAATGAGCAGCTTCTTGGGGAGAAAGGGACCTGTGTAAAATGTCAGATCGATATCTCAAAAACTGAGTTAGTGCTAGTTCGCGTATATACAGATTGGCATGGCTAAATAAGCCCAGCTGGTCTCGCTGATCATATATAATATATATATACATCTATATATTTTATAGGGTCTCCGAAGGTTCCTTGTGGATGTTACAAACTTCGTGGAAAACTTAATACACTATTCTGTTAAGGGTATAAAACTATGAATTTAAAAAATGCCATAATGTTACAATAATTGAACTTTATTTATATTTTTACCCTTTTAATTTATATGTATATAAATATTTGATGAATATACAAAAAAAGATTTAACTTTTGTCATCTCGTGCACGCATTCTATGCACAAAAGCAGCACCCTTGTTTTTGCGGAAATTTTCAAAGGGGTCATTCATATTAATTCCAACACCCTACAAAAAGATCAGTAACTACGACATTTTTAAAGTGATTTCTTTTCATTTTATTACCTTAAACATGTCTTTTCTATCGCGCACTTCACCTCCTGAGATGGGTTGTTCAATACCCTGTTGCTTTGAGCCTAGGCCCGTACCTGAGCCAGCCCAACCCATTTTCTTTAACATTTGATGACCCTTATTCGTTTCTTCGATAAACTCATTGGGTTTCGGAAAATTTCCACCACTATGATAATGATAATTATTCACAATATTTTGAATTTGTTCGTATTTGTTAAAATGATTGTATAAATAATTACTTACAAGAAACTTGGCGGAGTGACAGACCGCTCACGTCGTGGATTAGCACGTTCCGGCCTATTTTCACGGCTACTACTAGAAGAATCGCGTTCTCGGTCATTTCGTTCTCGCTGTGGCGAACGTCTAGGTGACCGGCTTCGTTGGCTATAACGATTATTGCGGCGATTGGAGGATGAACGAGCGGGCGGTGGTGATCGGTATGGTGAACGTGACTTGGACCGACTACGACTTTTGGAACTAAAAATTAACATAAATATACATACATATGATAATAGACGAAAACTACCACTCTTTATGTAATCGAACTGTTTAACATAAACCACCTGTTGTAATTTGACATATTTACTTACCGATAGCAGCGTTTATTGAGTTTTTTCGATTTTGGCTTTTCCAAAACAATCGGTGAGGGTGAGCGTGTTTTCTCGCGTTCACCCTTTTGTATTTCGTCCTCCTTCTGCTTTTTCGCCGCATTTTTCACCTTATAGTACTCGTAAAGTCCCAGCTTTTCCCACCCTTCACTGTTTAAAAAAAAGTTATATTATATATATATAATATATATTTATAAGAATGAATGCATACGTATCACGTGGTCGATCATGCGTCGGTGGCGCATAAAATGCCGCTAATGCATTAGTCAGCCGCTCACTTTGAGGCGCGGGTGGTGGCAAACGAATATCCGCAGGATCGAGCGGCTTGTAGTTGTAGTCATCTAAGCGTATCAATGGCACCATCAATCCTGCAGGCAAATCGTAGTAAGGCGCTGATGGTTTCTGTTCCTCTGCTTCAGTTTGTGGCGTCATAACGGCCAGTTGCCCAGTTGAGACTTCTTCATTATCTAACAAATGAAGGGGCGGCATTTGGCCCTGCGTCAATTGTGGCACTGTTGTTGACATATCAGTATGCGTTAGATGCTGTACGGTTGCCTCTGTATTTTGCTGAGAATTTTGCATTTGATTCTGTTGTTTCAAAACTAATTGTATGGCTGCATTGAGTGCCAGCACATCTATGTTGGATCCTGCAGCTTTAAGATTAGGTGCGTCGATACTGGTAGCGCCCACACCGCTGCTATTATTGCCAGTATGCGGAATGTTGTTCATTTGAGCAAATGGTTGTTGTAAACCAATCGGCATTGGATTGACGGCGGTATTAGCTGCACCAGAAAACCCTGGAGGCGGTTTTGACATGTCAGGTATGAAGAAATTCCCCGTACTGTTTGGCTGAGTCATGTTATCCAGCGTGAAATTGTTTTGCTGTGGACCATTTGTTTGTCCATAATTTATATTGTTATCATATTTTTGCTTTTGTGGCTGTTGTTGTTGTTGTTGTTGATAGTGATGATTTCTGTTCGTATTGCCAAAATCAACGGGGCCTCCACCAACACCACCACTATAATTGCTATCGTCAACACCCGGTGGTTTCATAATTTCGTCGTCATCATCTGGCATAGAAACCTTTTGCGCCATGAGTGGAGGAATCTTTGGAACAACTGACTGTTGTTGTTGTTGTGGAGGTAAGGATGCGGCGGCGGGCAAAATCGCAGCTGCGTTTGGCAATACAGATGCCAACATTTGTTGTTCCAGCTGTTGCTTTTGTTGCTCCAATTGTGTGATTTGTTGTGTTGCATGTTGTATGAAGATTTGATGCTGTTTCTGGTAGCTACATTGATTGTGACGACCAAAAACGTATAAATGTAAACTTATTTATATTGAGTATACTAATTTAAGTGTATTTGCATACTTCTCTAGTGTGGCTTTTGTGCTTTGCGCGAATTTTGTAACGATATCTTGATGGATATTCTGCAAATTTGTTTTGTATTCCTGCATTGATGAATCGGGCGATTGCAACTTCGATATAACGCAAGCATCGAAGAATTTTGCTTTTGACTCCCAAAGGGATAGAAGTTTAGTGAGTTTAGCACGCTGATCAGCATTGGCGACTTTAAAGGTACGTGATACATTTATTTTAGACTACTGTATATAATTTTATAAATTGTTTGCTGCAACTTACTTAAATCTGCACTGCAAAACATCGGTATGACCACATTTTCCAAATTGTTCTTCAGATCATGAGAATTCTTACGAACACTGCAAAAACGAAAAAATTATTTTAGGTGCAAATCACTAAAAGATGTCGAATAAATCGGCTGAATTTTTAAGTTTTTAAATGCTTGCTAGATTTTTTTCTAAATTGACTTATTTTCATTAAATTACTTTTTGCACTTAATTCAATTTAATTGCGAATTTTTATGGATTTTTTAGCCAAATTTATTGTTTAATATCAATTTTGGATTTCATTTGTGTTTTTTATATCAATTTAAACTATTAAGGCAAAAAAATGTATTGGCACAACTTACCAGTGATGGAGTATATCATTTACTAAATATATAAGATGCAATTTTTGTTGAAACGTTGAACCATTGACCAAAGCCCTAAAAATAAATTCACAAAGATATTTTCCGTGTCTCTTGCCCACTGTAAAATGATTGTTCTCTATAAAGTCTAATTTTTACGCGAAATATTCATTCTACTTCAATTTGCAAATTCGTTTATTTTAAATTAGGAAAAAGGCTTTTTAAGTCTGTACAAAAGTAAGTATTTCAGAGTGTACATTTCAATCGAAAAATGCATTCCCTGCAATACTGACTATTGGAATAAAGTTTAAATATCTAGTTTTTCTTTCGCTTATGTTCGTATTCAATTAAACGAGTGAGGGAGCAAGAAATCAAATAAATAAATTTATATTCAAATAAAAGTTAATATGGGTCAGGCAAAATATCGCTCCTATTGCACATCTTGGTCACCACGAGTGGAAGAGAAATTTGGTTATGAGTTAATAAATTAGTTAAATAAAGTAATTGATTAACTGACGCATACTTTTTTAAAAGATATTGTAAAACAACATTGCTTTTTGCGCTGTCGGATGAATGCTGTAATATCCAGTTTTTGCCTAAAATTGCAATACCAAAAATGTTACTTTATATTGTTAACATTTTTGCAAGTTTTAAAGAGTATTACATATAACATAAGGAATAAATAGTTAATAATAATAACTATGCTTAACTTTTTTTTTTGTGTATTTTACAAACTATTCAAAGTGTTTATTGATTTGCACATATTTACCTGCAGAAATGCTATCCTTGGTACAGGACTCAATAATTGGCTGCAGTATACCATCGAATTCTCGCAACACTATGCTATTCTCCTCGGCCTGTTTTTCCAAGTGTGTATTTTGCGCCGATTCAATGGCCTCGTCGACTTGCTTAGATTGTTGTGCCATCATTGCCTAAAGTTTTTAGTATTTTTTGAACGTAGTGCAAAGACGAAGGATTGAGCGAATTCGAACCACAACAATTTCAAGGCGAAATAGATTTTGTTTGTTTTTTGTTTTGAGGTTTGTTTGTGTCATATGGAGGTTTTAAAAATATATAAGTAAAGCAAACATTTAAATATAGGCTTGAAGGCGTAATAAATGTACATATGTGCATTTGCATATTAATTATTTACATACTATAGTATGTAAAAAATAACTTAAAATCTAGTATGTTTTGAAAAACAAGTTATCATTTTGTAAGCGCAAATTAGAATGTAAGGGATATATGAATAACATATACACCTGAAAAATGCAATAGATGCCGAAAAAAACTTATTGAAAGCCTCTGTAACTGAGTAAAATTGCAACTACAATCCCACGAAGTACAAATTGATGAGGTTAATGGTTTACTTCGAAACATACATAATTCTTTATGTATATTTGTATCAACGGCCCATAGAAAAGTAAACACAATTGTAGTAAAGCTTCGTTAAAACATCACAGTTTAATTATTAAAATTCTACAGTCATAAACAAACTTTAACACTGCATGTTTCGCTAGGAGTGCTACTAATTACAGCCACCGCATATACACTCTTTGATACTCTTTTACTTGCGCTGTTCCTCAAATAGTGGGACGATTGTTCAACTGGTTAGCTGAAAGTTGCAAATATTTTCGGTATATTAGGTATAACTTCCGTTTTATAATACATTGTACTCACGTTTCGCTAATATTTAATCACTATTCATTATAAATAAAAATATGCTGTCAACTTCACAAAGCATGGAGATATATTCATACTCAATAACTTCAACGTCAAAATTAATTTTTGTCAAAAACGCGTAAAATACAAATCTTTAGAATTTCGCATTTAATCGCTGCTCCTAATGTTGAACTTTAGCTTACAAAGACTTTTCCCCAACAAATAAATTATAAACAGTTTATTTAAGTATGAATTACCGAATGTTGTGCGGAGAGATTTGACTCGGACTGATGAATTTGTTCCCGCAAGGTGTTTTGTTGCATATTAATAGCTTCTATTTGGCCAGTTATATTTATTGCTATGCTCGCACTATTTGAGGAGGATGGTGGAGGTTGCTGTAAGTTCATACTGAAATTATTTCCTTCATGTGAATTTTGTGCTAATCCTGGTGTTTGTGTTATGTGCATCTGATTCGGCGGACCTTGTGTGAAATGATGTGACAACGCGGGCGATAGTGTTTGTTGATTTTGATTATGCGGCATATGATGAACTGAAGTATGTGGAGAGGATTGTGACATTCCGCTTTGTTGCTTCAAAACTAAATAGGTTATAATTACAAGTTATAATGCTATTCAGCTTATTAAAGTATAATATTATTAATAGAAAAATAACTGTTAATCAAATATAAGAGGCTTACACGCTTGTTCTGCGACCACTCTATATTGATAATAACCAGCGTATTCGCCTCCATAAAGAAAATCAAATTTTGGATTGCCGTGCTGCTTTTGTTTGGTGATCATTTCAAATTCGGGCCCATTTCGTGCAACAAATTCTGCCAATTTGTCGATTATGTTGCGAAGACTGGAATCTGTATAAACAAAATTTTCGTGTAATAAAACTTGCATATTCCAATATATTTTAGTTTTTAATGAACCGAATAGGCGGTTTAAATAGGGTTATGCTGTGGTCGCGAACTTGCGGTACAAAAAAAAATTTTGCTAATATCACTAATTATGCTTACCTCTTGGCGGAGGTGGTACATCCATCATTTTGGTTTCTTAATTATATATTTTAAACTTGTTGGAGTTATAATTCACTTTTACTGAAGAACTTTTAAAGATTTCATGTCCACTAAAATTTTTCATTTGACGCCATGTTCGGCAACAATTGCATCAATTTCTTATCGAATCGGAACAAAATGAAAAAGAGACATTTTCATGTAACTGAACAAAGAGTGTTCAAACTATTTTTTTACAACTCACCTAGCCGAATGCTTCAATTTATATTGACAGCGATCCAGGACCGCAATATTTATTGAGCTTTGAGTATGCGACAATATGGATCGCGATCCATATCACAAAATATTTAAATATTTTGAAATCCTGATCGGATATTATAGAACGCGTGATAAATTATGAACGCTTAGCACATCTTGTATATAAATTCGCGACGGAGCAAGCAAATATTAAAAACCGAGTGATATAAAGGGAATTTTATTGTATTGAATGTATTATATATTTATGTTTATGTACAAATTTTAGCATTTTTTGACTCAATGTTTTCTCTGCATTTCTTTTTTCATAGACAAATGAACTTTTTTTCATGTTTCTTGCGACATTTTGTAAAAAAATGAACGAACCATTAATTAAATAATAAAGCCAAACCATTTATAAAATCTTTCTTTCAAAAAACGCGATTCAATACGAATAAATACTACATTCGCTCGCGGTCCATTATGGATCACGATCTAATATTTGGATAAATATTTTTATATTAAAGATGCGAAAACTAATATAAAACATACAGTTGAAAGAAATCGAGATGATATGAACGGAGCTAGCATACTACGTTGCGCAAACGAAACAATCTATCAGATGAGGGCGTCCTGTAATAAAAAGCATGTGTTCAATCTAAAAGGTATTTTTTTAAAGGGTTCCAATTGGAATTGGTGAAAAGTGGGCTTGTCATTTGTTGAGTTAACAATAATTATAATTATTAAACTGCGTTCGTTTATTTCGCCAACATCAACTGTACTAAACGGAGAAATTAAATAATAGTGCTTTTGTGTTAAAAGTTATAAATGGATATATATATATGTCTTTACGTGTTCAATGTTCAGATGATGCTCCGTTAGTACATAAAGTTATTGCGTAAATAACAGAATTGTAAAATATAAAAGTAAAAAATACCAATTAAATGATGACAGAAATTTCGTAAAACTAATTTTGCAATAATTTAAATTGGAAAAGTGTTTTGCCTCCAAACTGACATGTATATGTGTTTACATACCTATGCAAATATGTACAAATGTTATAATAATAATAACAGTAATAATAATATAATCAAATTGAATTTAAACCAATCAGATTTTAGCACCAGGTGGGCTTGTCAAGGGCTTGTCACATATAAAGAGGTGGTAAAAAGTAAATAAAATGGTAACGCTGGTATCAGACCGAGGCTTTTAAGACGTCAATTATGTGAGTAGATTTAGTAATTGGAATTAGTTAATGTTCTCAAATTACTGTTGTGAGTTGTACATACGCACACACATACATATGTTTGTATGTGCGTTCATATGTATATAATTTGTATATGACTACCTTTCAATGATTTTATTTGCGAAAATTACTTTTATTACTTATATTCGATTTGGTTTTATGCAATTAATATAATAGCTCAGTATTTGTGATGATTGGGCTATCCATAAAAATGGGCTCATAATTTTATATCTGTAGCAGACGAAGATTCTTTAAAGAATTGAAAAAAATGGCAAATGAGCGGAGTACCGATTTCCGTTCAAGTTTCGGACAAATTTAGTAATAAGCTATTCATTACATTGAGCTTTAACTAAGCCCGACTCTGACATTTACTGTGAATAAACTTTTAATTCATTTCTGTAAGGGTATTTGAAGCTCTAAAATACGACAAATGAATGAAATAATAATAATGTGGTAATAAATTTATAATTGATTAGAGCTCTTCACTAGGAATACCTAAATACACATATGCATAGCATACTCGTATCTTAAGTATTATATATTTATTGCAAATGTAATATTTTGACATACAGATGTACCCTACCCTACCCAGTGACAGTCATCTGACCGGTAATATGACAGCCACAGCGAGCAGAACAAAGTTGTAACTGATGTAAACAAATGTTGTGTTTGATTTTGCATCTCTCTTTAACACATGGATATTCGCAATTGATTCACTTTATATATATACTGCTCACTCTCATGCCTTTTCCTGAGTCGTTGCTGATCGAAAATCCATCAAAGCAGCAATTTTTCAGTTATGACTGTAAATCTATCACAAGTGAAAAATTCTTTTGCGCGGTATATAATATAATTTTTATTTCTTTAATAAATTTAAACTTTTCAGAGAACGATCAATATCTTTTTTTTTCTGGAACCAATTTACCGTTTAAAAACAGAATTAGGTGTACATAGGTATATCTAAAATCTCGTCGTAGTAAAAGTGTTTAAGCAATTAATTACGAATATAGATCATTATCTACCTATCCAGAGATAAAAGTATTTTGACAACTTTATGATAAACAGAATTTTGGGTCGAAGTTAGCCACGTCAAAAATGAATTCAACGAATATTTACATATATGCAAATGTTTTTCTTCTTAATTCTCATTAAATACGAAATAAAACGTTATGAAAAAAGTTCTTGAAAGCGATTGAGAAGTTGATTTTAATTGAATTTTGCTCATCATCGTACTGAATATAAGTACATAAGTGAAATCGATTCGGTCTGATTAGATTATATTAGATTAATTTTGAGGTATGCACCGCGACCTACGGTCTATTGTGCCCTCCCCTAAGTCGTATCGTGTCATCTAGGCCCAGCATGTTGATAAATTCCAAAATTCTGCTGGGTGCTAGTGAGGCGATACAATCCCTGTGTGGAAACATGGATCCCAGGGCCTTGATTCTGCGTCTGCAGACTGCTGTGCAGTTTATCAGCAGATGTTCAGGGGTTTCCGGCTCTATGTCGCAGAACCGGCAGTTTGCAGAAGAGGCTATGCCCATGTTAAAGAGGTGCTTTTTGAGCCTGCAGTGGCCGGTGTAGAACGCTACCAGTAGCCGGAATTTGTTTCTTGGGAGATTTATTATGGCTTTGAACCGCTTAAGGTCGTAACCCCCCATTAGCAGTCTGGCATGGTGCATGCCCTGGAGTTGTTGCCAATTTATCTCCCTGCCTGCTCTTTCCTCCTTTCGGAGGAGCTCTTTGATGGTATGTGGACCAACCGCTATGTATGGTTCCGGCCCTACCATTTTTGTAGAGGCTGCAGAGCGAGCTAACTCGTCAGCTAGTTCGTTCCCAGCTATACCCCTATGGCCAGGCACCCAAATAAGGTGCACTCGGTTGTGCTCAGATAGGCTGTTCAGCCGTTCTATACACTCCATCACTAGAAGAGATCTGACCTCATAGGCAGAGATTGCTCTTAGTGCCGCCTGACTATCGCTGAGTATAGCGATACTTTTATTGCGATAGTTGCGTTGGAGGTTTATTTCTACACACCGACTTATAGCATAGACCTCGGCTTGGAAAATGCTAGGGAAACTTACCATGGGAATGGAGAGTTTGGTGCTTGGCCCAGCGACCAGCTGCACCAATCCCCTCCTCCGTTTTCGACCCGTCGGTGTACCACTTGATGCTGCTACCCCTCAGCAGTAGGTCCAGTGAAGAGTCATTCCACTCAGATTTGCTGCCAAGGGTTACTTGGAACTTCCTGCTGAAGTTTACTACTTTGGTAATGCTATCCCTTGGGAGAAGGGCTAGTGGTATTTCCTCACTTAGCTCTTTCATCTGCTGGGATGAGATTACCTTCCCTTTGCCAGCTCCCTCTGCTGTCATTTGTAGCAGAGTTCGTCTGGCAGTCTGTTTGATTACCAGGTGTAGCGGTGAAAGTTCTAGCATGACTTCCAGTGCTGCGGTCGGACACGTTCGCATTGCTCCCGACGCGCAGATGCAGACAAGTCTTTGCAGCTTCGACAGTTTAAGTCCTACCGAAGTCTGCGATGCTTTCGAACCCCACGATACCGCTCCATACGTGATAATCGGTCTCACGATCATGGTGTACATCCACCTGATAGTCCTTGGGGAGCACCCCCAGAATTTTCCAGCAAGTCGGTTGCACACCATGACTGCTTTTGTAGCTTTGGTTAGGGTCTGGTCCACGTGCTGATTCCATCGCAATGTGGAATCCAGCGTGAGGCCAAGATACTTGACCGTGCTGACCATATCAAACACTCTGCCGTCCAGGGATATATTTCTAAGGCCCGGCAGTGACCTCCGTCTGGTGAAGGGAATGATTGTAGTTTTGGCGGGGTTGATGTTTAAGCCAACCCCACTACACCATCCCTTTGCCAGTCCCAATCCCCTCTGAACGATATCGCAGAGTGTGTCTTCAAATTTTCCCCTAGCTAAGATAACAATGTCATCCGCATATCCCTGACAGCGGATTCCATTGCTAGTCAGCCGCTCAAGGAGATCGTCCACAACTAAGCTCCAAAGTAGGGGGGATAGCACTCCACCCTGTGGGCAACCTCTTGTTGTTCCCAGACGAATTTTCGTTTCTCCTACTGCGGTGCTGCCACACTCCTTTTCTCCAGTGCTCTTTACACGCTCTCGTGTGACGTGTTGTCAAAAGCACCTTCTATGTCGAGGAAGGCGCATAACATCACCTCGCCCCCATCTAACGAATTCTGGATCTCTGAGGTTAGCTGGTACAGAGCAGTGTTTGTTGACCTGCCTGCTCTGTAAGCATGTTGCTTCTCATGAAGCGGTGAAGCCTTCAGCACCTTCGATCGTAATTCGTGGTCTATGATCTTTTCCATACTTTTGAGTAGGAAGGAAGTAAGACTGATTGGCCTGAACGATTTCGCCAATGAGTAGTC